TAATGATTTCTCGTATATGACAGCAAAAGCACAGACAGCACGAGAGAAAAAGACTTCATCAAGATGAAAACCTTTTATGCAGCAAAAGAGAGTGAAAAGACAAACACTGGTCAGGAGAAAATGTCTGCAAATCATGTACCTGGTAAGGGATTAATATCTAGAATATTTTAAAACTCCCAAAAGTCAACAGCAAAAACCCAAAACAACCCAACTCAAAAACAGACAAAGGGGCTGGGTGCAGTGGCTCATACCTGTAATCCCCACACTCTGGGAGGCCAAGAAGAGTGGATGGCCTGAGCTCAGGAGTTCAAGACCAGCCTGAGCAAGACTGAGACCCTGTCTCTACTAAAAATAGAAAACCTAACCTAGCACTGTGGCATGTGTCTGTAGTCCTAGCTACTCAGGAGTTTGAGGCAACAAGATTGCTTGAGCCCAGGAATTTGAGGTTGCTATGAGCTGTGATGTCAAGGCATTCTACTGAGAGCAACATGAGTAGACATTTTCCCAAGAAAACACACAAATGAGCATGTGGGAGGATGCTCAGCTCAGGAAATGTTAACAGGGACCACAGTGAAATGCCACCTCCAACTTGCCAGGAGAGCATCTATCAAAGAAATGGGAAACAGGCTGTGTGGCTGAAGAGGAGAAACCAGAGCCTGTACATTGCTGGTGGGCCTGTGCAATGTGGCCCATCAACTCTACCCTTAGCCCCAGGAATTCTTCCGCAAAGCATCTGAAAGCAGGACGGGGTCAGACACCTGCTTGCCCGCGTCCATGCAGCATAGTTCACAGCCGCCAGACCAGGCTTCACCAGCACGTGAGGGCATAAAGCAAAGTCCATCCCACAATGGGGCATGACTCAGCCTCAGAAAGGAAGGAAATTCTGATGCAGCTTCTACGACTCGACGTGGATGGGCCCTGAGGATGCGACGCTAAGTGAATGAGCCTGAGCCTGATGTAGACAGAACTTGAACCCATGTGACTTGGCTCCCTGAGGCCCCAGAGGGGTCAGGCCATTGGAGACGGTGGCCGGGAGGGGGGCGGGGGCAGACGGGCGCTAGTGCTTCACAGGGGCAGAGCTTCTGTTTAGGACAATGAGGAAGTACTGGAGATAGACGGTGGCAATGGTGACACAACATAGGAACGTGCTCAATGCCCTTTTATGCATATTATAAATGGCTAATAAAGTAGGTTTCTAATCATATACCTTTTACCATAGTAAAAAATATTCCCCTTAGTTTTCCTGTTTAAAATGCTCTAATTGGTACCTCTCAGAGCCCCACACCTGCCCTGCTTCCCCCCAGCCCCCTGGCCCAGTGGAGGGTCCTGAGGTGCTAGGGACCCTCCACTGGGCCAGGTACACACTGCCCCAGGGCCTTTGCCCACCTGCTTTGGTTTGCTTCTTTTCTACTCCCTGGAAGCTCTTATGCTGCCCAGGCAGGTTGAGCCGTGGGCCTGAATAGGGCAGGCCCCACCACACAGGGCAGTGCCAGGACAGCTGAAGGAAAGCAGGGAACGGGCAGAAAACTGGGTCTGTGCGAAGACCAGAAAAAGGCAGAGGCACAGGGTGGGTCACAGTGTGCCCATAGGGCAGGGGCTGTCCCAGGGCAGGGTCTCTGTGTTCTCACAGCCCAGGTGCAGGATTGGAGAGGGGGCACAGTCATCCTCACAGTTGGGGCATCTGTTGCTGGGCAAGCCAGGGGTCTGGGCCCGTGATGGCCCCCCATCCCCTCTCGTTTTTTCTGGACACCAGGTACCACCCCCATGTCCAGATCCCATGAGACTCTGGGTGTGTAAGGATATGGCAGGGCCAGATGGATCACCCAAATGTGGGCTGGGGAGCTCAGACCATCCTCCCTATGGGGCTCAAGCCTGCCCGCAGCCCTCTAGTCACGCACTGGGCCCCTCAGCCCGCCCTGGGAGTGTGGGCCAGTGCACTAAGACCCTGCCTCAGGAAGGGTGCCTCTGGAGAGCAGGAGGGAATAGGTTCTGGTCCCCAGTACAGTCCATGGCATGGCTCTAAGCAGGCCAGAGCCCAGCTGGGCCATGACACCCAGGGGCATGTCCTGAGCATTCTGGATGTTCTCTGGTGCCAAGCGTGGAACTGGGCAGACACCCAGCACTTGGGGGCCAGTGGACCATGGGGCTCTGTCCTCAAACCTACACTGCTAAGGTAGGAGAAAAGGGCTGGGTAGGGGGACAGCAGTGTCAAAGGCCTCTGGAGGGGTCTGGGGGTCCTTAGCGGCTCCTGTCTCTGGCCTGCCCATGGCCAGAGTAAGGATGCTAGATGGTCCCACCTAAGTCTGGGCCATTCCAGGCAAAGCTGCAGGGCAGGTTCTCAGCACAGAGCAGGCAGGCGGCACCCCACACCCTGGGAGGCTGCGGACCAGACCCCCTTCCTGGCAGGAACCACAGTACCCCCTCCCCTTCCCTCACCTTCTGTCTCCAGTGCCTTCAACTGTGAAGAGGCGAACTCTGCAAACAGGCTGAGCAAACAGGCTGGACTCCCCAGGCCACATCCGGGATGTCTCAATAGCCGCGACCCTGACAGGCCACGGTGGCGGCCAGCTCCACCGCCCTCAGGGGCCCTGCTGACCTAGCCCTGCTCTGCTTGGGAAGTGCTTGGCAGTGGGTGTGGGTAGAGGCCACACCAGGCTTCAGCTACCCCCACTGGGTGGTGCTGAGGGCCAGTTAGACCAGCAGGTGAGGCCCTGGCACTCAGTCTGGATGAGGGGCTGCCTCTGAATGGTCTGGCCATGTTCAGGGTGGGCTGGGGACTGGGCACCAGATCATTAATGAGCACCAGCTGTTTTTCCAGCCCGTGCTTGGAGCAGACAGGCAGGTGGCACAGAGTGGGTGGGCTGGGGGCTGTGGCCGTGCCCAGACATATAGCACAGAAGTACCATACAAACTATCCCTTGAGATCCCTGCCCTCTTTGATGAGGGAAATGATACAGTGGCAGGAGGAGCTGGGCTGGGACATTAGCTGGGAGCACGGTGTACAGTGGCGCTGAGACCTGGGGGCTCTGCAGTGAAGGAGGGCCAGCTTCCATCATGGCATCCACTGAGCTCTCAGCTGTGGGGAAGGGTGACATTTGGCAAACCATGTCAAACGCTTTTTGAAATTGTTGCTGTGGTAAAAAAACACACAACATGGTTGGGTGTGGTGGCTCATGCTTCAGTCCCAGTACTCTGAGAGGCTGAAGCAGGAGGATCTCTGGAACCCAGGAATTGGAGGCTGCAGTGAGCTGTTACAAGGACACTGTACTCCAGCCTGGATGACAGATTAAGACTGTCTCAAAAAAACACAACACTAACATTTATCACCTAACCCATCTGATGTGCATGGCTCAGCAGAACATCTTGTGCTGTGTGGCCATCACCACCCTCTGTCTCCAGAACTTTCTCCTCGTCCCAACCTGAAGCTCTGTCCCCATTCAAACCAGCTTCCCAGCCCCTCTGGACTCCTTGCATTCAGCTGCTGTCTGTCTCTGTCTCTGTGGGTGTGACATCTCTGGGCCTTCAGGGAATGCCCTTCAGCAACAATCGCATCTCACTGAGTACTGCCGTGGCCTGTGTCAGATCTGTTTTCTTTCCAAGGTGGAGTGAGGCCCTACTGTGAGGACTGCGTGCACTTCACCCACCCAGCCCTGGGCGTCTGTGAGCCTGGTCTCCAGACACGCTGGATCCCTGGGGCAGAGGGGGAAGGGCCAGGTCACAGGCTCTGCTCAGAGGTCACCCACAGTGGCCACATCCTTCACACTCCTGCCACCGGCCCACCGCCTCCAGGTTCCCCATGTCCTCACCAGCCTTGTTTTTTTCTGAGTCTTGGGTAATAGCTGTCCTGGTGGGTGTGAGGTGCATCAAAGCCTTGGGACTGGCTTTCTCTTTGCCACAGCAATTCCACTTTAAAGAATTTGTCCTCTGAGAGACTAATGCAGGCAGAGTCCAAACCGGGGCTGCAGTGACAGGGGATTGTGATGGGTGATGAGGACACACACCTGCTGCCATGGGGCTAGCACTTCCCTGCTGGGGTCCACCTGGACACTCTCAGGCAAACCTGTTAAGGGCTGGGCAAGAAGGAGCCAGAGCAGAAATATCTCACACTCACATCAAGTGGGTAAAGAAGCATTTGGGACAGAGCGTCCTCCTTACTCAGAGGGTGAACAGTGGGAGATGGCACTGTGGGGACCTCCCCGGGGAACCCCTGCAAGGGTCCCCATCGTCATGTGTGGACGTCACCCCGTGTGGTCAGCTGAGAAGCCCAAGAAGGTCCAGACCCCAGGAGCAGGTGCTTTCTTTGCCCCAAATCAGGAAAGACAAGGCCAGGCCGGGGTCAGAGGAGCACCACTGACCACTCAGGCCTTGTTCCCCGGGACCTGAATCTCCGAGGAGGAGGAGCTGGAGCCCTCCTGCTTAGTTGGGCCGGTGTCTCTGGGCATGGAGCCTCCTCCTGGGACCCCACAAGACACAAAGACCAGTACTTGCTCTGACACACGACTACTCACCATCCTGAGTGAGCAGTGCACCAGGGCTGCCCACTGCCAGGTCAGGCAGTGGTCATCAGTGATGGCACAGTACACCATGGCTCCCTACTCTGTAGAATGCAGCACTGAGCACCTCTGCTCAGCCCCACAGGGCCACCTGGGCTGAGGTCCCCTCTCCAGCCCACCCCCAGCCAGACACTCCCATGGCTTTGTTACCCAGGGTGGCGCCAGCACCACCTCCAGGCACCAGGTGGGACGGCCCCCACCTCCTGACTGTCAGAGCTGTGGGGGTCGGGGAGGGGTGGGGTCGTCCGGCAAACCCTTCCTCCTCTGGGCCTCCCTGCCACGGCCCCTCCCCAAGAGCAAACATATGTGGTGGCTCTGGGGCGAGTGGGGCCCCACGTGGCCCAAGGGCCGGCACCAGGCCAAGGCTTCCTGCTACTTAAGCCTGAGGCCCCCAGAGGAGCTGGCACCTGCCACTCTCTCCTCGCCCGCCTGCCGAGCCAGCCCATCATGGGCAGCAGGGGTGCATGCCGGGCGCTGGCCTGGGCTCTCACGGCCCTGCTCGCGGCACGGCTGACAGGTAAGGTCCCCGTCCACTCCGGACCACATTCATGGCAGGTCCTCCAGAGCATCCCAAATGTCACGGCCCCTGGCATCCGGCCTTCATCCACCTCAGGGGGACATGGTGTCCTCAGACACGGAGCCCAGCAAGACATTAAGAGAGTAAAGCCTGGCCTGGACGGGGGGTCCACACCTGACCATGGGGCAGGGCCCTGAGAAACCACAAGCTGGCCTAGAGGGCTGAGGCTGGAGTCTCTGTGGCCCAGGGAGGGGGAAGGGCCCCCCTAGCACAGGGTCTGCAGAGGACAGTCCACCCTCTGGGTGGGGGGGTCACAGCTGGCAAGGCAGCCCCCATGGGGCACAAATAGTGTCATGGCCATTCCTGCAGCACAGGGCCCCTGCCTGGGCCAGGGCTGACTCCACAGGGCTGTCCTGCCATCGTGGCCACCAGCCCTATGGGTCATACCTGCCAGGCCCTTCTTGTGGTGGTGTCTCTTCTCTGTCACTTGGGAAGAGCTGGGAGTGCTAATACTTGCTGTCAAGAGTAAAGATGTGGCCCCAGAGGAGGTATCCCTCCCCCGCCTATGCTCAGGGTCTGAGCTGGGCCGCTGGGGCCTCAGTTTTCCCCCCAGGTAAGGGTAGTTGTGGGGGGCGGGTGCCCAGAGTCCCTGCCACAAGCCCCATTCTGAGTCTTTTAGTGGGTCTGGGATAGGAGGGCCCTCCTGCTGAGAGTCTGAGACACTGGCCTCACGGGCACGGCTGTGGCCCTACACCTGGCTCCTCCAGGCTGGCAGCCAGGGCTCTATCCACCACGGGGGTTGCCTAGTGGCTGTCAGCCCTACCTGGTCCTCCTACTTTGCTCTTGTGGCCAACGGAGCCCTGGGGTGGGAGGGTCCTTTTGTCACAAGGAGACAGGTACTGTGGCCCCTGGGGACTTGGCCAGACCCCACAGAACAGCTTTGCATCTGCATGGGGCATGTGGGTTCATGTCCAGGGTACACACACCCAGACTGAGGTGTGGTGGGGGGTTTGCAGTGGGCATTTCTCTGGCCAGGTGATGAAGCCTGACTTACCTGGCCCCAGGTACAGGAGGTAACCATAGGAGCAGCCAGGAGGGGCAGCAGGAACAGCAGGATGGGGTTGGGGAAGCAGTTGTGCTCCTGGGAAACACAGGAAATGGGGCACCCAGGAGTGGCCAGGAGAGCTAAATGGAGAGCCAAGCAGCACAGGTACCAGCTGTCCCAGATCTGAGCTGAGCAGGGGATGAGGATGGCCGCCTCAGGCTGGTGTCCCCCAGTCCTCCTGGGCCATGACAACACCAGCCCCCAGCTCCTCACAAAGCACAGGGGTCAAGGTCCACTGGAAGGCCTGGCCCTGCAGAGAGTGGCCTGGGGGACCTGGGGGTATAGCTGCCCTGAGCCCAGAACCTAGCACAGTCAGGCTGCGGGTTGGGCCCAGGAGGGATTGTCTAGCCTCAGGCCAGACTTTGTGCCTCTTGTGACAACACTGAAGGGCACAGAGACCCACAGGTAGGGCCCAATAAGGGCCATGGGCTCCTCACCACTCCCACCCCTTCTCCTACAGAGACCCAGGGTGGTGCAGAGCTGAGCTGGGGCAGTGCAGGGCCCACTGCGGACAGCCTCAGGGTGGACAGCGGTATGAAGCCCAGGCCTGGGTGGTGATTTCCTGACCAGTCAGAAGAGGACTGGACACTGAGTGGGATTGGGGATTCCACATGGCCACAAGCCACACAGAAAACCCTGGGGCCCTATGGGGATAGAGTAGGCATTCACAGCGTACGAAGGTTCTCAGCAGAGACTCACACCTGTGTGCATACACACACTGACTGTGCAGATGGAAACACCCAGGGTGGGAGGGTGGCTCTACCTCAGGCCAGCTCACTAGTCCTGGGGTCTCTGTGGTCCCAGAGTGGCCAGTTAGGGTGGGGCTTTGAAAGGGGTGCCCCTGGCTGGCCAGGGCCCCAGGTGACCCAGCCCTCACCTACAGCCCACCCGACGTCCTCGCCCACCAGGCACGTGAGCTTTGTGCCCCCCATCACTGTCCTCCCAAGCAGCTATGGTAAGTGGACGCCAGCCCTGACTGCCAGAGAGGGGGTGTTCACCAGGCCCAGGAGTGAGGGGCTAGACCTGGAAGTAAAGCTGGCACAGTGTGGGCCATCCAGGCAGGGCAGTGCCTAATGCCTTCCCTGTGGGCAGTTCTGTGGGCTGACCACCCAGTGGGGGGAGGGCAGCCAGGTGGGGCACAGTCCACATAGATAGTGGCCAGTCACCACTGTCTTCCTCATGCCAAACGTGGGTGCCTTGGTCTGGCAGGTGTCTGGGCACAGGGTGGGCATGTGAATCTGGCATCCAGAAGGGCCTCTTCATGCCCCTCTCCGCAGCCCTGCACGCAGCACACAATGGGCGGGTCTGCAGCACCTGGGGCGACTTCCACTATAAGACCTTCGATGGCGATGTCTTCCGCTTCCCTGGCCTCTGCAACTATGTGTTCTCTGCACACTGTGGGGCCGCCTACGAGGACTTTAACATCCAGGTGCGCCGTGGCCTGGTGGGCTCCAGGCCCACCATCACCCACATCATGCTCAAGGCCCAGGGGCTTGTGCTGGAGATAGCCAACGGCTCTGTCCTTGTCGACGGGCAGCGGTGAGCAGGCACTGCCAGGACCAGGCTGGGTCAGGATCAGGGGTGGCAGGAGCACTCTGGGTCCTGGCTAATGGCCTGGCCCAAGGAGAACTGGAACTTGTCGCCTAGGGAGGAGCTGCCTTACAGCCGCGCCGGCCTCCTGGTACAGAGGGGCAGTGACTACGTTTTCATCAGCCTCCGGCTGGGGCTGACCTTGCTGTGGAACAGAGAGGACGGAGCCCTGGTGAGGAAGCTCCCATCCCCTAGCCCCCAGCCCCTCCTGGCCTGACCAGAGGTGCCCCTGAGTGGTTGAAGCTGGCAGGGCCCCTGAGGCCTGGAGGGCAGAATATCTGAGCTGGCGCTGCCACTGCCCTGCCCTAGCTGGAGCTGGACCCCAAGTATGCCAACCAGACCTGTGGCCTGTGTGGGGACTTCAATGGCCTCCCAGCCTTCAATGAGTTCTATGCCCACAGTGAGTGTCACCCAGAGGCCCTGGTAGTGTTGGGATCCTGCTGTGGCTAGAGGAGTGCCCTGGTGGTCAGCTTCCTCACAGGCCCCAGAGTCCCATGCTGGGTGTTTTCTTTCTGGCAGACACCAGGTTGACCCCTCTCCAGTTTGGAAACCTGCACAAGCTGGATGGGCCCACAGAGCAGTGCCCAGACCCCCTGCCCTCACCAGCAAACAATTGCACAGACAAGGTGAGTTCTGCTTCCAGGCACAGCTGAGGACAGAGGCACATCCCCAGGTGTCTAACAAGACAGAGTCAGCTGGGCCGAGGGGCAGTGCTGCAGGAGCCCTGGACCAGAAACCCCTTCTGTGGGCTGAGAGTGCCAGTGGCCCAGAAACTCTAGGACACCCGGATCTGCAGAATCCTGAGACTCAGACCTTGATGTGACTGACAGAAAAGTCCTGGGAGCTCCCGCCCCACATGCTGCCTGTCGGGGCCCTGGGGAAGGGGATGCTCCCCAACAACCGGGCACCCAAGTTTGGGTGGCCACCTCCCACTGCCCTCCTCTGAGCCGCCTCCCAGGCTTGGATCTGTACTCTTCCTGGGTGCTCATGCCATGGCCAGGGATGTCCTGGAGCCCTGAGGATTTGGGCAGCCCCAGAGCTAAGCAGAGCCCAGAGCCGTGGCAGCAAGTTCACATTGTTGGGGAGGAGGATGGGTGGGTGAGTAGGAGCAGGGCTGGGGATAGGAGGAACCCTGAAGGGAAGAAAGAGGTGGGGGCCATCCAGCTGTGCTCCCCAGGAAGGTGTCTGCCACCGCATCCTTTCTGGACTGGCCTTTGTGGAATGCCATGAGCTGGTGGACCCTTCTGTGTATGTGGACGCCTGTGCCCAGGACCTGTGCCGCTGCCCCTCCTGCCCGTGTGCCACTTTTGCCGAGTACTCCCGCCAGTGTGCCCATGCAGGGGGCCAGCCACAGAACTGGAGGGGTCCTGGCCTCTGCCGTGAGTGTCCCTGCCAAGGCCTGAGCCTTGGGGAGATAGGGCAGGGGCTGACCCTCAGGGCCACAGCCAGAGGGTGCACAGGGAGAAGGCATGTCAGGTGAGTGTGGGCAGGGGAGAGGACCCTCTCTCTTCACCTCACACTCCACCCAGGAGACCATCAGGGGACTGGGGCAGGCAGGACAGGGGCTATCCAAGACCAGGGGCATCTGGGCTGTCCCGGGCCTGGGCCTGCCTTCCAGAGACCCCAGTGGCATATGGAAGGTGGGATGCAGGTGGCTCCAGCTGTCCAGGTGAGCCCTGGGAGCGGGTCTGGGGTCTAGCTGGGTCTAGCTCTGCTTCCTGCTGCTGCAGCCCGGACTTGCCCTATCAACATGGAGCACCAGGAGTGTGGCTCGCCCTGCATGGATACCTGCTCCAACCCCCAGCGCTCCCAGCTCTGCGAGGACCACTGTGTAGACGGCTGCTTCTGCCCCCCAGGCAGGTCCCTGCATGTGCCCTTTGCTCCCATTTCCATGGCTATTGCTGTCCCCAGCACCCAGCCCTGGCAGAGAAGCTAAAGATCTTCTCAAGAGTCCATACAGGGTGGGTACTGACTGCCAGGCCTGCCCATCCGTGGAGGCAGACAAGGCAGCATCACAAATACTGGGGACCAGGTGGGGAAACCAGGCCCAGAAGCGCTCTGCACTCTTCCACAGAGGGAGCAGGTCTGAGGGTGAGGGCAGTGGCCTGGTACAGGGGCTCTTTCCATGGGAGGCAGCTTGTCCCCAGGGCTGGGTCTTCTCAGGGGCAAGGCAGGGGCCCCCTCTGTGCCTCAATGTCTTCACCTATGCATGGGCCAGTCCTGCACTCACACCCCTACCCTGCAGGCACTGTGCTGGATGACATCACCAACTCAGGCTGCCTGCCTCTGGGGCAGTGCCCCTGCACCCACGGCGGTCGCACCTATGCCCCGGGGGCCTCTTTCACCACCAGCTGCAGCTCCTGGTAGGCCCCGGACAGCCTCCCTCTGCATGAGCCACAGGGAGTGAGCCCCACCTCACTTCCAACCGCTCTCTACTCTCACCTCCCCTAGCACCTGCTCCGGGGGGCTGTGGCAGTGCCAGGACCGGCCATGCCCTGGCATCTGCTCCGTGCAGGGTGGCGCACACATCTCCACCTTCGACGAGAAGCTCTATGATCTTCATGGAGACTGCAGCTACGTGCTGACCAAGGTGCGGCCCCTGGGCAGGCCTGGAGCCCTGAGCCCTTCTCCCGATGGCGAAGGCCGCTGCCGTGCCCTCCGCGGTCAGAGGGATGAGTCCTCCATGCAAAAGGGAAGCCCTGAGTTCATATCAGCTAAGCTTCACAGGGTTGAGGGACCCCCAGGCCTTGGAACCAGCTGCTGGGAGGTGACAGAGATGCCAGAGGCCACCTCCCACAGAGCCACACATCCACGGGTGTCCTGGGCAGAGGGCCACCTAAGCCTACACCCTCATGGGTGGGTCTGCCCATCAGAAATGTGCGGATAACACTTTCACTGTGCTGGCCGAGCTGCGGAGATGTGGCCTGACTGACAACGAGAACTGCCTCAGGGCTGTGATGCTCAGCCTGGACAGTGGGGCCACGGTGAGGGGCTGCCTGGCCCGTGCTGCCCAGCTCTGGACTGGGAGGGGTGGAAATAGGAGAGTCATGGAGACTGAGACCTCAGCCCTGCATGAACCTCCCCTCCCCAAACCCCAGCTCTGCTTCCTGAGGGGTTATCCCGGCCACAGAGAGTTGACAATGCTTCTCCACCAGGTCGTCCGGATCCAGGCCGATGGTGGCGTGTTTGTAAACTCCATCTACACCCGACTGCCAGTGTCAGCAGGTATGCAGCTGCCCGGGGCCCAGGCCAGGGCAGTGTGTCCAGAGTGGGCTCAGTTTCCAGAGCCTGGGCACGTCCATCTCAGACTCTGCTTGCTCCTGATGGCCTTGGGCAGCTCCAAAACAGCCTGCAGGCAGGTTCTCACCTGCAAGGTGGGGTGACAAGGCCATGCTGGCTGCAGGCGACTGCGTCTGCCCCACCTCCTCTGACGCTTCCACCTCCTGCAGCCAACATGACCATCTTCAGACCCTCCACCTTCTTCGTGGTGGCCGCACAGCAGGGCCTTGGCCTGCAGCTGCAGGTGCAGCTGGTGCCCCTCATGCAGGTGTCACTTAGGCTGGACCCCTCGCACCGCGGCCAGATGTGCGGTGAGGATGGAGGGTGATGGTGTTGCCCTGGCTCTGGTCAGCAGGCTGGACACCACCCTCTGATGTCTCCCCACTGCCCCCAGGCCTATGCGGGAACTTCAACCAAAACCAGGCCGATGACTTTATGGCCCCCAGCGGGGTGGTGGAGGGCACGGCCGCGGCCTTTGCCAACACCTGGAAGACCCAGGCCACCTGCCCCAATGTCAAGAACAGCTTCGAGGACCCCTGCTCGCTGAGCGTGGAGAACGGTACCCTCAGCCCACCGCCTGTGGTCACCCCAGGGTCAAGTCCCACGGGGTCTGTCCTTGTCCCCTGGGCCACAGTACTCCTGGGGCAGGGCTTAAAGGAACCCAATGTAGGCAGGTGGTATGCATGGCCAGCAGGAAGGTGTGAGGGGGAGAGGCATGGCAGGGGGCGACCCTGATTCCAGTTCCCTGTTGTGGGGGCTGGGTGGCATGAGCAGAGCCCCAAGATCATGCGGCACCCACTGGACCCTCCCCCCAGAGAACTATGCCAGACACTGGTGCTCACAGCTGACTGACTCTGCTGGAGCCTTCTCCCGCTGCCACTCCATTGTCGACCCTGCGCCCTTTCACTTGGTGAGTGCCTGTGGTGCCCACTGCCACAGGCCCAGGTCGGGAACAGAGTTGGGGACAGAGTTGGGGGAGTCAGACCCTGTCCCAGCCTGGAGCCAGAGCATATGTGTAGCCCCCCAGCCAGCATCTGCGTCTGTATCCACACTTCTCCCACGAACATGGGGCACTGGGCCAGGGCCCTCCCTCGAGCCTCGTCCTAACTTGGCTCCATTTGGGAAGACGCTCTGTCCAGTAAGGCCCTGTCCTCAGACACGTTAGGATCCTGGTCCATCTTTTGAGTTAACAGTTCACTCACGACCACTTTCCTGCCCTAAAGTCCTAGAGAGCACTCAGCTCAGCCCCTCCAAATGGCCTCTCCCAGCCCACCCAGGCCCTAACCCCTCCCCTTGCTCAGAGCCCAGTCTGCTCCCACGCCTGGTGCCACTGCCCCCCACCCGCCGTGGCCTCCCATGGTCCCATCACTATTTAAAGCACCAGGAAGTTTCACCCCAGCCTCTAGCCTGATGCAGCCTTCCTCCTGCCCCACGTGGGATGGACCCTAATGCTGCCACCACCCCCAGCACTGCATGTTTGACACCTGCAACTGTGAGAGGAGCGAGGACTGCCTGTGCGCGGCCCTGTCCTCCTATGTGCACGCCTGCGCTGCCCGGGGCCTGCTACTCCACGGCTGGAGGGACGGCGTCTGCAGTGAGTGTGGGGTGGTGTCCCCATGCCATGGGCCTCCTAGGGTTGCAGGGCCCTGGGCAGCAGCCATCATTCATGTGGCCCCAGCCAAGAGCACCAGCCACCCTCATCCTGGCCTCCTGAGAGCCTCGAGTCCTCATGATCCCCACACCACAGATGAGGGCACCAAGACTAGGATGGGGTGTACACCAGCCAGACCAGGCCACCCCACCACTGACACTACTGTCCTCCACTCCTACTGTCCACAGCCAAGTACATGAGCAGCTGCCCCAAGTCCCAGCACTATACCTATGTGGTAGACACCTGCACGCCCACCTGCCGTGCCCTGAGTGAGGCCGACGTCACCTGCGGTGTCCCCTTTGTGCCAGTGGACGGCTGCACCTGCCCTAAGGGCACCTTCCTGGATGAAGTGGGAACGTGTGTGCCTGCCCAGGAGTGCCCCTGCTACCTGCATGGCACAGTGGTGCCCCCCGGAGAGGTGGTGCATGACAATGGTGCCGTGTGGTAAGGGAGCTCAGCCTGCGAGAGGGACCCTGGGGTCCCCTGGGCCACCCACACCCTGAAGCCACCCTCACACCTCCATGGGGTCCATGTCTGAGCCTCCCTACCTGTCGCAGGGGGCCCCACTGGGGGCCCCACTCATCTGAAAAGAGGCCTGGGAGGCTACTGAGGTTTCTAGCCACAGGACTGTAGGGAGTAGGAGCCTCAGCTTTGCCCCAAATGCCTCCTGCACCCTGCTCCTCCCTGGCCTTGAAGGCTGCTCCTTATAGCTAGGGGCCAGTTCTAGTGCCTGAGGGTCCTGGTGGCCTACTTGCCCCTGTGGGCATTGGCTCACTGGCCAGCTCCGCAGGGGGTGGGATCTTCACAGCAGCCCAGTAGTACCATCCTGCCTGACCTAGGCAAGGAGGTGTAGCGCCCGGTGCTGGAGCCGGGGCTATGCAGTGTGGGAGGTCATGACGTGTGGGCAACGGGTCCAAGCCAGTTGTCCATCTCTTATAGCTCATGCACGAGTGGGAAGCTGATCTGCCTGGGGGCCACATTGCAGAGAAGCACAGGTAACATCACTGCCCATGTGCCCCATCCCGCCTAGGCACCCTATTGAGGGTTCCAGGAAGAGAAGGGGCTGAGCTGTCTGCAGAGGAGCTGGGCAGCGTTGTGGGGGGTCCTGGACCACTCATGGAAGCATCCAGTACTCAGCCTGGGTGGGCACTTGGTGGTTAGAGCACAGGCTGGGGGTGCCCATGGCCAGCAGCCTAGGACCCATGGACTGCTGTTCCTTAGGACCCTCCCACTACACTCTGTCCCCAGGCTGTGTGGCCCCTATGGTGTATCTGGACTGCAGCAACACCTCAGCAGGCACCCCAGGGGCTGAGTGCCTCCGCAGCTGCCATGGGCTGGATGTGGACTGTGTGAGTCTTGAGGCCACAGCCAGGATGCCACCCACCATCTGGGATGCAGGGAGGGCCTGCCAGGAGGGTGCCTGGGGTCTGCATGATCCCAGTGTGGGCAGATGGCCAGTGGCTGTGGTTTGCTGACCCCAGGCAGTGCCCCTGTGTGGCTTGTGCCCACCACGGTGCTGCTCTGGGAGACATTGCAAGGGCATGCCCAGGATGGACAGTCCTCACTCGCCTTGGTCTCTAGGCCCTGACCAATGTCTGCCTACTCCCACAGTTCAGCACTCACTGTGTGTCTGGCTGCATCTGCCCCCCGGGGCTGGTGTCAGACGGGGCAGGAGGCTGCGTTGCTGAGCAGGACTGCCCCTGTGTGCACAATGAGGTCTCCTACAAGCCTGGAGACACCATCAGAGTCAACTGCAACACCTGGTAAGGCCTGGGGCCCTGGAGGTGGCAGGTGGGGAGCCCTGGGACAGTTGCCTGAGCCAGAGGGGGACCTCATAGGAAGCAGGAGCTACCAGGATGCTTTCTGGATGTAGAGGTCCTCCTGTGGAGGAAGGGGCCAAGGGGACTGGCTGGACACCACACCAGCCAGTCCTTGTCATCGCCATGAATGTAGCCTGTATGCATGGGGCCTGGGCTGGCCTGAAGGGAAGGGCTCTGGGGCCAGGCCACCCTGTGAGCAGTCACCCTGTCCACAGCACCTGCAGAGACCGCAGGTGGGAGTGCAGCCACCGGCCCTGCCTGGGCACCTGTGTGGCCTATGGGGGCGGCCACTTTATCACCTTCGACGGTGCACGCTACAGCTTCGAAGGAAGCTGTGAGTATGCCCTGGCCCAGGACTACTGTGGGGGCAACACCACCCTGGGGACCTTCCGCGTTGTCACTGAGAACATTCCCTGTGGGACCACTGGTGTCACCTGCTCCAAGGCCATCAAAGTCTTTGTGGAGGTAAGAGTGCCCAACAGGAAATTCTGTGAGGAGGTCCACCAGCACCACAGGTCTCCAGCAGTGTGTGTCATGGGGCTGCCACATAACTTGGGACCGTATAGCATCCTCATCCTCTCACTGCCCTGGACACAGAGCCTGGGACCAGAGTGGGTAGAGCCCAGCTCCCTCCCAGCAGGGCCAAGTGCCTCCGCATCTTCCTGAGCTATGAGCTGGGGGTCCTTTCCTCCTCCCCAGCTCTGGGGCTCCAGGTGCTTCTCAGCTTTGGCCATGTCACCCCGACTCTGCCTCTGTCTCCATGTGGCTCCTCCCATGTGTGTCCTTGTCTCCCGTTACTCACAAGGACACTTAACACTGGATTTGGGACCAACCCAGTATCTGGAATAATCTCATTTCCTAATCATATCTGCAAAGATCCTTTCCCCCCATATGGTCCCATTCACGGGTTTGAGGAGTTAGAATATGGACATACTTCAGGACACACACTTCCAGCAAGAGAGGTCAAAGTTCATCACAGGGCAGAGAGCAGGGCTGTTAGCTGGGGCAGGGGAGTTCCCTGGAAGCATGGGAAGGGGCTAGAGAGAAGCAGTGAGTGAGGGGGCGGCAGGGCACAGAGCTGGTAGGGAGCAGAGGCACACACCCCACCCCTATTCCCAGCATTTGTTGCCTCGCCTTCCTCCAAACTTCTCTGAGACCCTCATGAGCTGGGTTCATCCCTCATACTGGATGTCCCCTGGGCCTTAGGCCTCTCCCAGCAGCTTTGCCTCTTGTGTCCCTCCAGAGCTATGAGCTGATCCTCCATGAGGGGACCGTCAAGGTGGTAGAAAGAGGGCCAGGTAAGGACCTGCCTTACAAGATCCGCTATATGGGCAACTTCTTGGTCATCGAGACCCGTGGTGGGATGGCTGTGTCCTGGGACCGGAGGACCAGTGTGTTCATCCGGTTGCACCAAGAATATAAGGTGAGCACTGGCCTTGCACTCCTGTTTCTGGCCCTGCTGGGACCAAGCCTGGCAGCCGACAGGCCCTTGAGCACTGTCTTGACCTGTAAAACCCAGGCTGGGGCAGGGCCACGCAAGGTGTCAGCTCAACACAGATGCACCAGAGTCTCAATTAGCAGGCATCCTTGCTCTCTGGACTCAGGAAGGGCCAGCTGGCTCTCCAGGGATGCTGCAGGACCTACATAACCATTCCTGTCTCTTGCAAGTTCTCTGGGCACTGCCTAGGGGAGCCAGGTGCCTAATCTGAAGTCCCCTGAGGGCCATAGACACCCCAGGCCAGAGTCAGTGCCACCCCCACAGTTCCTATGGCCCCAGCTCTCAGGGCTCCATCTGTCTCCTGCTTCTGCAGGGCAGGGTCTGTGGCCTGTGCGGGAACTTCGACGACAGCGCCATCAATGACTTCACCACACGGAGCCAGTCCGTGGTGGGAAATGCCCTAGAATTTGGGAATAGCTGGAAGCTCTCCCCATCCTGCCCGGACGCCCTGGCACCCAAGGACCCCTGCACTGCCAACCCCTACCGCAAATCCTGGGCCCAGAAGCAGTGCAGCATCATCAACAGCGCCACCTTCGCCGCCTGCCGCACTCAGGTGGGGTCTTGGGCTTGGAGGCAGGGGCCAGTGGGACAGCAGTTGCCTCTTTACCTGTGGGAGCCAGTCTGGGCTGGGCTCACAGCAGGTGTCTGTGGATGATTTTGACCCTGTTTCAGCATACAGCACTGCTGGGATTTCCAGCTCTCAAGTCTGGCTCCTTGTGCCTGGCATGAAGCTGTCACTACTCTTATGCTTTCTGGCCCTCAGTGTGGCCCTGACCACCCTCCTCTGGGACCACACATCTGACCACTCTCCTCTGGCCCCAGCATGAGCATGAGTATCTGCGGGTCCCCCAGTCTGGAAGGGGGTCAGTGGTTGACCCTCAGTAGAGACTGTTCCAAACAGCAGTTTCCTATGGTTCTGACAAATGCTGAGTGCCCACTCAGGGGTGCAGCTGTGTCATCAGGACCTTCTTGGGGGTGAGAAGAGGCGGGTCACACAGGGACACTAACCACTGACACCCCCAAGTTACTTTCACTGATCCTGGCTGCTCTCCCAAGGAGGCCCCAACATCTACCCTTGCCACTCTGCTGACTAGATCAGATGGTATTCTGTGTCCTGACAAGGCTGACCATTGATTCCAGTGGTGCCTCATGATGGCAAAAATGAGAACTTGGTGCTGGGCATAGTGGCTCACATCTGGAATCTCAGCACTTTGGGAAACCGAGGCAGGAGTTCAAGACAAGCCTGGACAATGTATCAAGACCTGAACCCTACAAAAAACAAGGAAAAATGTCTAGGCATGTGACACCACTCCCAGCTGCTTGGGAGGCTGAGGCAGGAGGATCACTTTAGCTCAGGAGTTGGAGGCTGCAATGTGCTAGGCTGATGCCACTGCACTCCAGCCAGGCAACAGAGCAAGACCTTGTCTCAAAAAAAAAAAAAAAAAAAAAGTAGTGAGAACCTGGGTCCACTCTAGGTCTGCTGCTGTGATTTGGAGGACTCACCTCACCTTGCCCTAAGGAAACAGCCCCTTGTTATCAGGATAGGTTAACAACAGGGCTCTCAGTGAGGGCAGGTCTAGAGGTGGGCCAGATGCTGTGCAAAGCTCTGCAGAAGTATCTACCCTTCCACTGGTCTGTTCTGTGTGCCATGCTCACCCTGGAAATGGACAAAATCTGCTCTGAGGCTCAGTGCCCATATCACAGTGGTTATGGTGCCAGCCACATACACTGAGGCTGGTAGGTTCAAGTTGGTGG